TTTAAATAATTGTTTTGTTTTATCTATAGCGGGCACTGGAAACTTCGTGCAAATAATACCACTTGAGAATAAAATAAATTAAAAAACAAATACAAATAAAATGAGAATTAATTTTAATCGTTAGCGATTGCAGCGCCATATCTTAAGAAGCGAAGGCCGCTTTATTCCAGGTAATCAATAGGTGTGTAGTCAACCAAATAAATGCACATGATATGGCGCCATATTATTGATATTGGTTTTCAAATTGATTGCGAAACGCCCTAAACATTACAAGTATCGGGCACTACCTACTGAAAAAAAGTGATCTTATAGCCCACCAACTAGTAAATGAACAAACACTTCAGCCATACTTCATGTCCATTTTAAGGGCCTGTGGACTTTGTAATACCTGCTCAAAAGAGGTTTGTAACCTTCTAAAAATATATTGATTTATTTATCGCAGAAGCGTTTTGGAAACGACGCACTTTATTACATTGTTCAATCAACACTCTTCATTAGAGTATTTGTGTTACATTTTGTAGTACTGTAGTGAAAAGCAGGAGCGGATCAGTCACATAGAAGTAAATTTTATTGTTGAAGAAAACATTTTTCTTTAAGGATCCTAAGTGAATTTTTTATTAAATTCTGAGTTATTTATGTAAACGGTTTCACAGCACAAAAAATAGCTTTTTTTGTTTATATTTAGTTTGTTTGGCTCGAGGCAACAAAAATGAAACACAATGTTATTTTAATTCATGCTTTGAGTCTCAGTTCTTTTCTAAAAGCATAACACTAGTCCATATTTTCATTACATAATATTTCTGGCAAAAATATATATGGATATTTTGAACCCGGAATTTCCGGGTTCGGACAGCCTTCTAGGCCTTTGTAAATCCGCTCCTGTTGCTATAGAGTAAAGCGCAATATAATACTATAGCAAGGTCAGTTAAATATGAGGATTGGTCAGTTACGCAAAGGCTACAATATGACAAGTACGTTAACTCAACGAAAGTATTATAGTTATTAATTTGATCTTTTTTCAGATAAACTTATGTGTTTTACAACCCTTCATACTTTCTAAACATACTCCCCAAACATATAGTTTTAGGGCGTCCCTTTTAAGTCACATGATTTATTAAGTACTTGCATTTTAAAGAGAGAAATCAGTCTAAAAGATATTATACGCGAGTACTTTCAAGTGCGCTGCCATATAAGGAATTGTTTTTTTTTTTACTTCTGTCTTTATCTTTTTGCCAGAAATGGTTGGCTAAAAGTGCCCCAGGTTCACATATCAAGTCGTAAATTTATGAACAAATAAAAAACCAAATGCGCATTGACAAATAATATAAATATTATTAAAGAGCTCGTAAGAATATAAGACGTAGAGTGCATTTTTTTTTTGTGGGGAAGACGCACCTCTGTTTGGGTAGAATCTGCTAGAAAACAACCTGATACATGGTATATATTTAGAATGTTTTTATTGCCAAATAAAAACAGTTATAATAAACAAGTCTAGCATTTAAATTTGACTCAAGATAAGAAAAAAGTGTGAATTCGAAAAGTCCCAACACGGGCAACAACGAGCCGCAAATATTGACGTGTTTTCCTCATTTACTTAATTCCATATCTAGCTGAATTTTGATGCGCAGAAGTTTTTTTCTGGTAATATTTTTAAACGTGGCAAGGAAATTCTTCTTTACTCAATAATTGGTATTCGCAGTTAACGTTTTTAGAATTCAAAGAGAATTTAAATTTTTAAAGCATATTTGGCCTTCTAAATTTGAGCTTATTTTAGGTCAATACTAAAATGATTTTGCTGTATTACTTTTATATATTATATATTTATATATTATCTCATGAAACGTGTCACGCACAGAAGGAGGCAACGTTGATTCCCGAAAACATATATATACCTTCTTGATCAGTATAATCATTCTAGTCGATCAGACCCAATAAGCGGCTGCATCAATCGATATTTAACTTTTCATATGTCCTGCTGTATCGGACCATATATATACCATATATCATATAGATACCATATGAATACCCAATTCAGATATGAAACTGTTTTGATTTTAAAGATAACTTGACAAAACTATGTTTTAATAGTTTTAATATGCTTCTTACAATTACATAAATCCAAATCTTTTGAGTATTGGACTACTACATCACATAGACCCAAAGAAAGATTCAGAATATCTTCATCAACCATTCTAGCCTCACAATTCTCCTTTTGTATCTGCACAATCATATAACATACGTCTACAAGGGTATATATTCTTCGGAGTGCGAAAAATATCCATTCTATCTTGTGTTAATCAAAGTTCGAATGTAGATTTTTTGTTGAAAAGGATTTCCTCTGTCTTAGTCATTTGCGAATTAAATTCCCAGTAAATAATCTTTCTCGACACCACAAAGAAATTAAACACATATTTTGTGAGATACGCGACACGTGTGAAGTTGATAAACAAATTAAAAAAATATAAGAATATTCTATTATCTCAAGCCCTTGGACAGAGGCTATAAAAGCCAAACAAAGTCGATTGCAGAACAATTAAAAAATATAAATAAATAATATATACAAAGATAAAGTACCTGGCCTATGAGTTATGTTACAGATCAATCAAGACATTACGAAATGCCAATAGAATATGATCAACACGGTGGGGCAATCGGCCCAATAAGATAACGCATTAAGTATACCAGGAAGGGGGGCGATAAGTCACTTGTTCGATAAGAAACTAGGTAACAGAATTCATAAAGTGCATTGCCTAACTTACCCGCAGTAGCCAGGTGAGCACACTCTCCCGATAGGGCACAAATGTGCTGGGCGTGGCACTGCCGCCCAACTTGCGCGAATCCGCCAGCGCGGCAATCACCTTGCCCAGGGTGAGCAGGCTCTTATTGATGCTGACGCCCTCGCGTATACGCTCGCCATTGGAGCCCGATACGCTAATGCGTTCACTGCCCGCCAGATCCACCAAACTGATCTTGCTGCGTCGCGTCTGGCGCAGCGAGACAACCGTGCCGGAATCGGTGTCCGAGGACATGCCATCGTCGCTGCTCAAATCTGTGAGATTTAGCACAATGTTGAATATGGAATGCGAGCGAGAGCTTTTGTCATTCATGGCCGTCGAGGCGGTGGCCCGCTGCGAGTTGCCCACGGCCAGCCAGTTGCGCAGCGCCGAATATGAGTCCACCGAATGAGCGCTCAGGTCCACAACATATGGCCCGAAAATGGGATGTTCGCGCACCTTCAGAGCATGCCGCTGCACGGGCGTATCTGGCGTGGCGGCAATAGCCTGCTGCACACTAAGCAGATCGTGTATTTTCTCATTGTAGATTTCAAAGTAGCTGACCTCCACCTCCACCTATGGGCAAAAGAGAATATACATTAAAGTAAATACAAATTGGAGTATATACATATATGTATTGTAGCAGATAACCGGTTTGGCCTGGGCCAGTGAGTCAGTTTTATATAAATAGATAGACAACCTGCAGCTGCTGCTTGACTGCATCGATTCTTCTGAAGAGCTCATGACAGAAACGTGGTATTATGCCCGCCTCCATATGCGGGGCATTGCCATCTAGCGCCGCATCATCCAGCCCCTCAATGCCCATCATGCTGTAGGATTTGCCCGAACCGGTCTGTCCGTAGGCAAATAAACACGCATTATATCCCTCGAAGGCGGTGTCGATCAATGGTTGCGCAGTGCCAGAAAATACGGCCAGCTGATCCGCATAGTTCTTGCGATCCGGATCGCATGAATAGTAAACCTGATCGTAGCTAAAGAAATGTGTAACTCCGGCCGTCGCATCGGCGCTGCTGCCCGCCTGGACGCTCAGCTCGTTGTTGCCATGGACCTGCACCACATTCGTGACGCTGGCACGCTGGCATTCCGGCGCATTCAGTGGACGCACACGCACCGCAACAATCATGTTGCTCTCCTCGGCATTGCTGTGAAAGGACTCGACCATGGCATCTTTATCCTTCATCCTGCTTGCGGATTTCACGTTGTTGCTGGGCGTTTGGGGTCCTCGCAGCGGCGTCGATTTACCCGCATTTCGGTAGAGCGACGAGGGCGTGTAGCATGCATTTAGTGCGGTTGGCTTTGGCTTCGGGTGTGGAGTTGGTGTTGCAATGCCGCTGCTAAAAGCCGTATTTAACAGCTGCTCTGCCTGTGTGTGCGTCGGTTTCTCGGCACTCCGTTTGGGCGTGCGGCACAACACCTTGCGACGCAGTCCTGTCGCAACTGTTGCAGGCGTTTTCGTGGCGCTGCCACTGGCACCAAAGCTGCCGCGTGCACGTGCTTGAAATTGGTGAATGCGTTGCTGCACAGGCGTGCTTTTGTTGCTCATTTTACTTAATATATTTACACTGTTGTTTGTTTAAACAAATTAAAATGCTGTTAGTTTCGAAAAGAGCGCGCGTCGCGTCGTTTGTTGTCAATTTTTTCATTCTAGTGATGTGAGAGTTTCGATAACATTGCCAGGGCTGCTTCTACTAGTCCACACATGTGTTTTCCAAAAGCAGAGATCTGGCAACATCACACAGTTATTTTCAAATGGTAATCGATTGATTTGGTTTGCATAAGTATATTTTTAAATAACTACGCTTTTAATTGTTGCATTAAATAAACATGTTAAATTCATTTTATTTCATAACGCTCTGTTTTTTTAAGGAGTTTTTGACAGAGAAAGTAGTCAAAAATGTATTTTACTCACTTGCCGTTAGATTGCATAAGTCTTTTTGTTAATATTGGTTGGACAGTTATTTTTTAACATTATGAACTATTCTACATATATTTTTTGGCTGTTTGTTTTCGTCTTTGAAAGGAAATTGCGCCGTGCAATCTAAAGCAAAAACACATATAGCTGCACTCTTCACACTCATTGAATTACGAGACCTACAATGATGTGTTTATGGGCTCCAACTTGTTTTGAATTTGTTAGTGCTGGCACACGTCAACAGTCGTATCGATGCCAATGCAACATCGATACTTTTGGGTTTGTTGTTGTTTTCATTGCACTAGTGCATGTAGCCGACGTAGACAAAAGTTATTTAGAATTGATTTGAGATTACATTCTATTTGCCACACATTACAAGTTTAGTTAAAGAGCGCTGCTGCCGCATTTCACATTTGTTAGTGCATTAGCAAGTCGGACTCTTGCTTCGCAGCTAACAAATTGCTTCTGCTACCTTGCGCACACAGTCAATCATATAAATAAGCGCGTTTCGAGAGCAGGTCTTGCATTTGCAGCAAAACAGTGCTCACGCACGTGCAACAGAATACCTAGACTCCTGCAAGCCCGCTAAAGACGAATTCCCCTCACATTCAGCAACTGCAGCATGTCCCAACAACCTGTTGCATTTTTGACGCGCCGCGAAACGTTCAGCGCTTGCCATCGCCTGCACAGGTAATAAATAATAAATAAATCAATAAATTCAATTCAATATCACAATTGACTCGATTACAAGTGTTATTGATTTCTTTATTCAATTGTGTTTCACACTCTATTCATTGCAGTCCTCAGTTGAGCGATGCCGAAAATTTGGAAGTCTTTGGCAAATGCAATAATTTCAATGGACATGGTCACAATTATACGGGTATGCAGCAACTGTCCATGTTTTGGCATAAATATTTTCGTAAATTGTTAAAATTAAATGCTTGATTAGTTGCGATTAGTAGACAGCCATATCAAGTGACATTTGGTTAGCTCAACCACAGCCATTGGAAATGCGAGACGAAACAAACAATCTGTTTATACCATAGCCAGGCCTTGGCCGACAAGCTCGCCTATCAAGTTCATCATTCATTAAATATAAAAGGCAAGGTTGTTCAAAAAAAAAAAAAAACATAATTGATAATGCAAAAATGTTATAATTGCATGTGAACAGTATCACAAGGCTGCCATGGCGACAAAAGTGTCCTACTTTGATAGATTCCCCTTTTGTTTAAATTCTTGTAATTGTAATAAATGATGTTTGCTTGTCTATTCGTAGTCGAATTGACTGTGCGCGGTCCCATCGATCAACGTACTGGCATGGTGCTGAACATAACAGAACTAAAGTATGCTATTGAGGCGGTCATTATGAAGCGCCTGGATCACAAGAATCTGGACAAGGATGTGGAATACTTTGCCAAAATTGTAATTATATGCTCTTACAAATTCTGAGATTTCATAGTCTAACCGCCAATTCTTGCAGCCGAGCACCACAGAGAACCTGGCCGTATATATTTGGGATAATATACGCACACATCTCAAGAAGCCGGAGCTTCTCTATGAGGTAAAGATATTCGAGACGCCAAAGAATATTGTTACCTATCGCGGGCCGTATCAATTGAATGGCCTGTACAACTCATTGAATAAGCGCACTGCACGCGATTCGTGCACCAATATCTCATCCGATTCGGATTAAATGTGGCAAAATATATACTTACGAATTTTTTGTTTTTGGACCAATGCTCAGTGAAGCACAACTAAAATACTTACACCTACTGTGAAATTGCACATAATAACACATATTTAGTTATTATCAAGCGAGTTATACGATTTACAAAGTATATGTTTAGAATTAAATGTATTCAAATGAAAATCATGAGAATTATATGGAATAAATACTGTAACAACAGCAAAGGTTTCTTTACAAGCTCTTTAATTATGTTAAGTTTGCATTTTCAACAATTTGTTTGCATTATTAACTCAGTACATGTCATGTTTATATATTTCATATTAGCTTCTCTTTAGTTAGCATTAAGCCAACTTCTAAATGACAGCTAAAACTGTAATTTACTATTGAAAACTTGTTCGTGTATATATATATATGTATTTTTTGTTGTTAATCAGGTAAGCTAATAATAGTTGTTCAAGTTTGTATAATTTATATCATAAGTATTTGTAGCTTGGATATATATAATTTAAATTGCTTAGGCATCAGTTTTACCACTAATTTATATCACGTTCTCTATGCTAAACGCTCCATACAATTTACTAGACCAGTTTACAACGATTCACCAAGATATTGCTTAGTTTTCCGTACGTTCAGGATTCTTCTAGACCGTATTTGGTAAATTAACAAGACAAACAAGATAAAAACGTACAAATTATGATTTTCTATATGTAACCAAGTCTGACTGTTTCTATACATTATCTTCTATTAGATGTAAAAATATCCTAAAGCTTGAAATGTATTTGTATTTTTGCGGCAGATGATGTCTATATTTGGGAGTCGGATTCAATCTCTGTATTATATAGCTGCTTTAGGAACTAATGCAAAAGAAAATTGTTGCCTTTTTCAGGATATCTTGACCAAACTCAGAATTGTGAGCATACGTTCGACTAATTTAGTTTAAGCTTATTCAAAGACTTTATAAACTAAGCAATATCTCATCAACTTTTTGACTTTCTTTAATTTAGACATTACGCGAATTTTCATATCAACGTACAAACAGATGTTGGCAATAACCAATTTTGTAAACTTCCCTTTTCGTTTGTGTATGGCGCATTTTAGAGCTAAATAGTATTAAGACTTTCAGCGCAGAGCTCTTAGCCCGTTGTCGTAATCCTGCACGTATAAGCTGCAGTAGATGTGCCAATCTTTCGAATCTGTGGGATCAGCAATTGTATGCGTTTAGGGAAATTCGCAATTGGTCCAAAAAACAAAACTACGTGGATTAGTACTAGTCTTATGCATGTGCTGATTAGTGGCTACGTGGCTGCAGTCAAGGAACAATGGCCATAAAAAGACTTTTTTTGCGAGACTCGAGAACAAAACAATCGGGTTTATCGTACTCATATAAGGCAGTCAGACAGTTCAGGTACCCATAAAACATTTCGACGAAATTAAGAATGTAGGAACGAATTATTTTTTTTCTTCTTCACTCATATACGGTTTTTATTATTTATATATATTTTATTTGTCTTTTTTTTTGCTGGAAGTCTCCGGAGTGCATAATGAGTCAGTATAACATATCACAGCCTGTTCATACAGATTGGGCAAAACGAGTTTTGTTTCGAGTCTGTTGCCATTGCGCACCTGACTGCAACCATATTAGTGGACTTACAAGCAGTTAGTTGAATGACTTTTTAGGATCTTTGGGATATGTGTGGGGCAGTACCAGATATACCATATATACCATATAGATAACTATGCTCCATATACTAGATGCTAAGCAATACAGGTTAATGTACATTAGTTCAAACAAATCTTAGGATTAATACTTTAACAGCCTTAACCTCCAGTTACCAATCAAACGAATTAGCTACAATTTGACTAATACAATTTGACAACTAGTTAAATATTGTGTTGCGCACTAAGGTCTAAAAATACATGATAATTTACGAACTAGCTAAAGCATTTCTGTAAGTGTCTTATTTGTTAAATTTGGTTTCATTTCACATTTGGTCTGTCATGGCATTTGGTTTGCTTGTCGCAACTTAGATGGTGGTGCGCAGTGTCTTACCTGGATTTCTAATCGATATGAACGGTATGCCGAACTCAAACTCATTCTTTGGCCAATACTTGAGCAGCGGCTGACGCTGCGGCAGCTCCGATTCCACATAGAAATATGCGAACAGCACCAGCACCGTGTATGCAGCTATGAATATGAGTATATGCCAAAAGCCGTGCAGATATGGAAAGTTGATTGCAGACCAGGCCTCGCAGAACATTCGATCGTTGATCCAACAAAAAACTGCCACGCCCCAAACTGTCGTGGCACGCAGGCCCAGACGATAAACGCGCTGATCACGAACCCTGCGAATGAAATGAAAAAAAAAAAACAAAACAAAACAAATGTTTTTTAGCTGCCATCAAAAAGAGCTACAAAATGCCAACTGATTGAGGGAATTGCTTAGAATATTCTATGTTATTTGTATATTATTTCTTAATATATATTATTTGCTCAAAGATCTATAGAACTTTCTTTCAAGTGCTCTGCGAAATAATCAAACAACATTTGAGTTATAAATATGGCGACGAAGATAAAATATTACTGATTGACTTAAACCGATTGAGATATCTTGAAAATAAAATAGGATGTGCAAAGCAAAATCAATTTCCAGCAATAGTTGCTGCACTTAAAGATAGATGGCTATGACTATATCGACTTAGTTCTTGTTACTAATTTAAAATATATATTAACTTTTTAGAATCGCAAATGCGTGCTTTACTATGTAATGTAAGGCTTTAATATCTCCTGCAAGGTTATATTATTAAATATATTATTTTTGACTCTGCCTATTTTTAAAATTGAATTATAAAATTAAATATTGCTGCTAATTCTCAAGTGATTTACTAAGAAGCTAAAACAGCAACTTAACATTTTTAATAATTGCATTTTCGCGACACGTTTGCCTCATTTTAAAATTATTTCAATTTATTTGATGCAAGAACATATACAAAAACCTTGTTCGACTTTTTTATTTAGGACCATATAAATCACAATCGAGCATATTGTTTAAACTTCCGATTGAAATAAACTCCCTATCTTTATGGGTGTCAATTATTATTTTTTTTTTTTGGAAAAGACTTTCGACTAAGCAAACATTTTTCTATTTTAATTGATTTTGGATGACAGAGCTTCGAGTGCTACAGTAGCTTATCTAAGAGCGCATTTTTTTTTAATATAAAGATAATAGTTTAGCTTTTTTAAACGTTGCTTTCGCTCATGAAAAATTCAAATAGATTAAAAAGCTTAAAAGCCATCCGTCTTTTGGCAGTCCTATAAAATAAGCCTGTGATTTATGGCCCAATGCTATTTCCACAGTTGCGCTCATTATTTCAAGAGAAGCTCCACTGAACTTTGACTTGCTCGGTTCGTTAAGATAAAAAGGTAGTATGATGTATTGGAAACACACACACAGACCTAAATAAATATATAGATTAGGCAATGGGTACACCTGTTCGCAGTTGATAAAAAAAAAAAAAAGCGAAGGAAAAAAACTCGGGTAGCCATGGGCTTTGTTAAACATGCATGAAATTGATAAGGATTGAATGATATGATATACGATTTAGCTGGCAGAGTGCTTGTCTTTGTTGGAACTGCAACTTATCGGTCAACAAGGCAAACGCTGCTTATCGGCCTGAGTTTTGGGCATATTTTGGGAACATACGCACCGCTGCAGCTCAGTGTAGAGCATTATCATGGTCGGCACGCCCATAAGCATCAGCACAAAGGCATTAACAATGGGCTTCCACCAGCACAAAGCCGTTGCGATAATGGCCGATGTCAGCATGAGCCAGCTGAAGGCTTTGCTGTTGAGCAGAGAAGAGTTAAGTTAAGCTGGTAGCATTAATTTCTATATCTCACTAGATACTTACCGATCGTTCTTAACGAACTTTGGATAGTAACGCTTGGGATAGAACAGCGAGAAGCCGGCTATAAACACCCAGAGTATGGCCAGTTCGTCGAGCAGCTGGCCCAATAGACTCAATGTCGCATGGAAATACATGGAACTGAGACCCACAACAATCAGCAGCACCCACAGCAAATGTATTCCGGGCGTCACAAATCTTCCGTATTCCTTAAACAACATTATCAGCACGGGCGGCAATAGGATGAACAGAAAATTGCTGAACTGCAAGAGAGAAGCAGGCGGCAATTAGATAAGCTAGACACAATTAGATAAAACCAAACTTTCAATTATTCAATTTAATTTATTAAAACTAATCACATCGTTAAGATGTTCAAGTATTAGCAAAATTATTCATCACCAGAATAATTGTTTAAAAAAATTTTAAATCTTAGGTAGAAGCAAAAATATTAAGAATATAAGTTAAAATAAAATAAATTAAGCTAGCTTTAACAATAATCAAAAATATATTATAGAAATTATTATAATCGTTTCAGAAAAACTCAATTAGCTTTTTTTTAAGACAAACTTTTATAAATTACTTATTTTAATTGTTTTTCTAATAAGCCCTTAAATTTGTCTAATTTTTAAAGCTTGAAAATAAATCATTTAATTTTGAAAATATAAATTATTTTTTAATTTCATTTTCTGTTTCGAAAGCGTTGCGCTTAGAAACTTAATAGAAACTTAATTGTTTAACTTAAAACTTAATAGAAACATTAAATTAATATATAATTAAGGCTGCGGAAAACATGTATTTGATACAAAGAGTTAGCAAGCAGTGAAATTCTTATTGCATATTTAAATATTCGTCTGAATTAATTAGTTACGAGCTTTTACGGACTCAGCTTACGAGCTGAGCTGCTGAAAGGAAAGGTAGTCAACTGTGTTTAAGATCAAGAAATGTATTCAAACAAAGACAAACGCGTTTTTTTAATTACTTCCGGACAGTTTAAGCTATTCATGGAGAATGCGGACACGAAACAAGTAAACTAATGCCTCGCATATACCCTGTTTATAACACAATAGCCTTGCTCAATAAAATAAATGACATTGGGCTAAATCCTAGCCGCCACGTGAAAGCGAGCAGCCAACCATGTCCATGGCTTTATTTGTGTCAAAGTGTTTGTTAGGCCATTTGTTGGGGCAGAGTTTTTAAACAATTTATATTTCGTGTCATTTGAACAAGTTTTTCAGCCGAAGCAGGAGACAAACAAAGAATGCCAAGAATAATTTATTGGCCCAAACCTAATTAAATGTCAAATTGTGTGCAAGAAG